TGTGTGTTTTACCACTACCAGTCTCCGCAGCAATCACCACATCCTTCCCTGATAGCATTCATGGTATGCAGGCAGCCTAGAATGAAAATAACAAGATATCAATAACCATAAAAGAAAATACTAATACATAAAACTGATAAATATAAATTGATAGATTAGCATTCATATACCCTTTAAGATAACTAACTAGATTTTCTTTTTGCAGCAAGATTTCTTCCAATTACATCTTCTTACCTTCTATTACTAGCCGTTTACATTCAGAAAATAGAAAATGAAAGAACCTGAATTTCCTCTGATAAAGACTGGATAATACTCTTTCAATTGTCGCCGGTCGTGTTTGCACCGGATTCAGGAGTTGCAGAGGAAGACGACGCGGCGACCGGACGAGGGTTTAGGGTTTAAGCAAAAGCCTAGGCCAGGACTGACAAACCGGATCCGTTGTCAGTCCTGGCCGGAAATGACCATTGTGCTCTCACTAATTTATAATTTATGAATAAGATGGGTTTGATTAAAGGTTAGGAGTGTAATTATCATTATTTTACATTAATTATTGTTAAAAAATATAAAAATTAACATTTCATTAGTACCACTTGAATTATTTTAATTAAATAATTACTTATATAAAGATTAATTTTTATTTTTTTAATAATAATTAATAAATAAAAAAATATAATAATTACATTCTTAAAACATATTAAAAAATCTTTGATTAGAAGGATAAAAGCCAATTTACTATCAGACTGGCAAATTTATTACCCCTTTGGACTAACAAACAGTTTTTTTGAATATAAAAACTGAAGTGTTGCTATTTTACATTTAAATATAATCTGCAAATTACCTTTTTTTTTCTAAAAACTGAAAAACCCCTTAAAGCAACAGAGGATAAGAAATGCAGACAGATGGCATGTTGCTGGATACAAGTTGAGAGGAGCCTTTTACTGGCTTACAGCAAAATACATTACTAAGTTTCGTTTGTAGCTTCCTTCTTCATGGATCATGGTAGGATTCCATTTTTCTCTACTGATTCCACAGACATGTTGTCAACAATATACCTCTACTTTCCAAGCTCATAATTGGGGTTTAACATGACTGAATTATGTTTGCACAAAGCTTGCTGTTACTTCTGTTGCATGGATTTGTCAATTCATCCAGGCACTAAACCATGTTGCCACTGGTTTTTCCAAGCAGATATTCAGTACTTTCTTACACTCCAGAGAATGGTGGTCCAGGAACACTCTTGGTCATACCTTCTATTGACATGCTGATCCCCTCGAAAGAGAGGAGATTGCCTTGAGGACCACAAGCTGCACGAGCTGCAGTTAAATGGGCTCAGAATCATGTTGATAAGGACTGGAAAGAATGGATTGGCTCTGGTTAGAATAAAGGTTCCCTGATAGCTAGTTCTGCCAACAAGCAATTCTGATTTGTGTGAAAGATGATGGATGAAAATTAAGGCTTGTGGCAGATTTTTGTGGGTAGTCTTGTAACTTAGAAGAGAATAGCCTTTTGTGTTATTTGCCTTTTACTGGTAAAATAAAGGATGAGCAAGAAGGTTTGTGAAGCATGTACATAAAATAAATCTTTTAAATGATGGTAATGATTCATTGACAACATTTGTTAATAATATCTATTGACAATAATTTTATGTTATTAAACTAGTGGATATATACTCATTTACATATATTGTATAGTAAAAAGAACTGATAAAAATTATTTGAATGTAATGCTGTCAACAAACATTGAAAATAAATCATTTTCAATTTTCATGTAAACAATGCATTAGTGTTCTGTCTATTAGGAAGCACAACGATTCAATCTCTTGAAGAATATGGTTTAGCTTCTTTCTGCTTTAGCTGTTGGGAATGAATGATCTACTATGTAGAAGGAATCCATGTTTGATTAATGAAAACTGCCCAACCGCACATGGTCTTCGTCGGACAAGAAGATGTCTACCGGTGCCAAGTCAGACTTGGGAAAGAGATCATTAAATAAAGAATTTATTTAAGGAAAGGAGGAACGAGGAATCCCACATCGCTCAAAGAAGACAACCCAAGCATCAAAAGATACTTTAAACGATCACTTGTGCAAGTTTGTCTACTCACGCAGCCACGCAGTGAGCACAGAGCGAACTATTCTTTCGCCTTTTACTAAAGAATACCGTGTGCTCGCTGCAGAAAGTGGCATACGCCAATTTTTGGAGGGCTCTCCCATGGTGGTTGAGCCCCTACAATTGAAGTTTAAGTCGTTTCAATTTCAGTCATTGTATGGGTTGGTATGATCCCTGCATGTGTTTGCCTAAGGTGCCGATGGATATCAACCATCTATGCGTTCTGAAAACTGCAAGCAGCAGAATAGGAGAGTGGTAGCACTTGCATTGCAGCCGCAGAATGGTATGTAAAGCATGTAGAAGAGTGGATCTTATAAGAGAAAGCATCAGTGTTTGGTCTATCAGGAAGCACAATGATTCAGTCTCTTGAAGAATATGATTTACCCTCTTTTTGGTTTAGCCATTGAAAATGAAGATTTTTCTATTTGAAAGTAAAGGAAATGGTCCACACAATCCCGTGCCACACTCCCACCTTTCCATTGTTCCACATCAAATGAGAAGATATCACCAATGCCAAGACAAAGAGTTAGGAAATTGGGACCATCAGATAAAGGAAAAGGATATATGTGAAGGAAGAAGGAAGGCATAATCCCACATCACCCAGAAGGATAACCAATGCCTAAGAAGCTACTTTAAAAGGTCACTTGGGCGAACATTCCAAATCACGCAGCCACGCAGTGAGCACAGAGCGAACTATTCTTTCGCCTTTTACTAAAGAATACCGTGTGCGCGCTGCAGAAAGTGGCATACGCCAATTTTTGGAGGGCTCTTCCACTACGGGAGAACCCAACAATTCCAGTTAAAGTTTTATGGGTACGGTTTGGTTAGTGGCTGAAAGTGTGGTTGATAGTCTATGGTGGTTTGTTGTTTGGGTTAGTGGTGGAAATTTATTGGCTAGTTGATAGAAGCTGTTTGTAATTAGTGTCTGATAATTGATGGTTATTAGTGAATGATAGTTAAAAGTGGTTGTTGTTAGTAATTAATGTTTAATAATAAAGTTGTTAAGAGTGTTAAATTATTATTAAGGATATATTTAATATTAATTAAATCATTTTTTATTGAAATTAGTTAAATTAATATTGCTTTTACCAAAGAGAGAAATCAAAATAGTCTGAGAATCTATTAAAAGAATATTAAAAGTTTAAATTTAAGGCTATATAAGTAATTGTATAAATAAAAAAAAATCCTTAAATACTTTTAGGTTTAACAGTATATATTGTGACTGTTAAAAAACGCAACTATTGAAAAGTTTAACGTTGTTAGTTAATTTCTAACAACTAACAAAAAGTCTTAATTAATCATACATATTTAACTAATTATGACCCAGTAGCTCTTAGCTCCTTCAAAACCACCAAAACAAACTGGCACTATGACGTCATTGGTTTTTTTCCCTATCTGATCCTTCCTTAACCATTCTGGCTTTTAGTTCATACCATATTTCATATGTGATTAACACTATGCATTTTGGACTTTTGCCTAAATAACACATTTTCTCATGATAATACAATATATCACATTTATGCATTCTGAAAAGTGTTATCTCGTGGTTAGCCTTTACAATATGCATTTACAACTGACCTTCAAAATCCTAAGAGGTGATCAGACATTTGCCAATTGGACCAAACTAAAAATCAGAACGATCCATCAACTCCTCCCCATCTACGAATCGTTCCAGGAGCTCTTTCTCTTGCAAAACTAAGCAATCTTCAGCCTTCCCGAACCAGTCATAGCGCCGCTTGGCAACATAATCATATACAGCATCTCTGAGTGGTGTTGGGATTATCAAGAGTGTACTTAAAGCAGAGTAGGGGAATGGCAAGTAGGACAGAACTCGCAATGCAGCTGCAGAATCAGTCAAGTAAGAGTTAGATTGTACAGGAACAATTACAATTGATGCATGCTAGAAAAAGGAACATTCATGATGAATGATAAACTTCTTGGGACCATTCTGAACAATAATTTGTGTAGAAAATCAGATATTAAGGTATTTGTCCTTCTGAATAGTTAAGGAGGAGAACAATCATATAAAGTAAAGCAGAACAGGCTAGTGTGCAAATAGCTGTGTTTCAGAATTGACATTTTCAACTGCCATCCATTATTCCATTATACAAGGACGCTTAATGGGAAAATGAAAGATTTCAATTTTTTTATCCATATTAGGAGATACTGACATTCAAACAAAATCCCTCTGAAGTGTTACCACACACTGAAATAAGTGGAAAAGAATGAAATAACCTCAAAGGTCATCCAGCACCAATCTTGCCATGAACCAACAAGAAAATCTATAGGAATCACACATACACCCCAAATAACCAAACAAAAAAAATTATTGGAAGTCATTAATTCTGGAGCTCTGTGCTTAGGGAACTTTACCAGTTGATCCTTGATGGTACAGACCAGGGCCCTCAACAAACAGAAAACGGCGCAGAACATCCTCTCGGTCAAGACCACTAACTCTCAGATATGGTTCAGCAGCTTTTGACTGAAGACAACAGAACTTTATGTGCCTGTATTTGTCCACTCCAATGACCCATTTCACCCCTGTAAAATGAAATAACCGGCATGTGTAAGAGCATAGTCGTTTAGGCATCATATTGCACAAAAATGAACATGACCACACAAGGGAAACTAAGTTTTGAGCACTAGTAATTAAAGTTGAAGTGAATAATAAGCTTGAATAATGCTTAAACCTCTCCTTGAATGGATAAAATCTCTCCAGTATATAAACAACGAAAGATGTATGGCTTGGTAAAACCCGATTAGAATTCAAATATCAAAAGAATGTTTGGGATTTTTCCCCATCAGGTCTCAAAGTCATCCCATGGACAACAATTCCATCATAGTACATAACTAATGTTTGATTCAATAAATTATGATAGGATAACCAAATGCATTGATTTCTACACAATTTAGATGGACATCCTTAAAGAATTGAGTTTAAATCACATAATACTGTTAAAATTTCCAGAGCAAAGACATATGTTTATGCTCATTTTCATTAAGAAAACATAATAAACAGGAATTCACTAATGGGTTCTAACCCTTTTGGCTTACCCAAGAAACCCCAGAAAAACCCATGTATGAAAATATTGATCAAACACCTCAAAGGAAAAAAGGAACCTAAGAAAAGGCGGAGGAAACGAACCTCCGTGGCAAAGATGGCAGACCCCATCATAGATGACGACACCCGGTTGAAGAATATCAGGCAAAACCGGCTTCACGGAAGAAGAAGCCGGTGGATTGCAGTAAACTAGATCGTCCTGCTCCTCAGAGACATCGGAAACATTAGCCGCGCTTCCAGAGACGACGCGGGTGGACGTTGAAGAAAAAGAAGAAGAAGAAAGAAGCTGGCAGTCCAATGGACGGCGAGGGTTTGCAGGAAACGGCGCGGCGACTTTTGCTCTCGCAATCGCCAAATTTGCAATTCGCTTCATCAACATTCTCTCCATTTTCTGCAGCCCAGTGCAAGGATCAATGGAGAAACTTACATAGCTTTTCTGAATTTCTTGGGGGCTTTTTTGAAAATATGGGGAAAATGAAGGTATTGCTTACTGTACTTTCCTTGAAGCCCAAGTCGGTTCCGGGGAAGCGGGAAGCCTTCCTGTTCCCCTCAAAATTCTTGATCGAATTGAGTTTTGCCATCCGATTCTGACACGTGTTTCTCCAGTGAAATTCTCAATTTTGCTTTCAGTCCTAAAATTTGTCTAAAGATTTAAATTGAGGACTCTTATAAGTGGAAACTCATACTTCCATAACATTCCATGACCCGTTGCAAGTTGCAATCAAGAAATTTGGCCCAAACTTCCAAAAATTTCTATTAATTGGGGAAAGAATAATGTGATTTGCAAAACAGGATAGGTCAAAAAGGAGCCCAAACCATTAACCTCTGGCACCACGGATAGGAATACCATATAAATTATCATTGTCAAATACAAAAAGATAATTGTATAACATAAAACAAAAAAGTATTATATAATCCAAACCATACTAGATTACACAACTTAAACCATTAGATATGGTTGGACACCTAATATGAGGGGGTATATGTCGTCCTTCAATGGCTCATGTTTTGCAATCCAAACTGCATATCATGGCCATATCATGGCACTTAAACAGCAATTTTGGCCAAAGATCTCAACAACTAAAGTATCAGCCCTTGGTGCTAATCTGAGGAAATATTGGGTCTAATTGTTTAATTCAGCTGCTTGTAGCATGTAACCTCTGCCAAAGCCAATCAAAATGATCCTCACGGTTTACATTTCCGAAAGTAATGTACCAACAGGAAAACCAAATATGAGCTTAAACGGATGCCAAATTGTTGATCTGTCTTTCATTTTAAATGTATTCTGGAACATTGGAACCAACCGTAAAAATATCCTGTACGCTGCAATTGTTTGAACTGTTATCATAATTCTTCTTGGATTTGACCATCTGCAACAGCATCGGCAAGATCACATAAATTTCCAGAGATTATTTGGATAAAAATGATCCACAAGGCTAAATAAATCAGGGAAGACTCACCAGCAAGCTTGACAGCCAAGTTTGCTTGAGCATCGGCCTCAGTGTTCAGTTCCTTTCAAAGGCGTGCATGAAAATGTCAAAACTTTGCAAAGCACCAAGACCACAAAAGAAAAGCAATAGCAACAATTTTATTTATAAAATGGAATATGAACAATCAATAATATTATCAATTCCAGAAAGGGGCAGAAAATGAAATAACCAGCAGGCAGACCAGTAAATAGCCTATAATAGTCAGAGTTGAGACCTACCATGTGAGACAAACCATAAACAACTGATATCATAGAACTAAATCCATAATGTCTTTCTATAATTAGGACTTCATTGTCGCTTCACATTATAAAATAAAAGACCAAAACAAAGTTTCATTAAGGCCTTCATGTTCTCCATAATTTGCCATGTCGGGCTAAAGTATGGAAGCTGCCAAAGAGCATAGGATGTTTAATGCTGGTTTCGAATTTAGTCATGATAATTGACTGACAGGCATTGATTGAAGGTCTAGAGCACATTTAGAAACACATGAGAATGATGCTATTACATATTATCTTAATCACATTCTATTTTGCCAAATGAGAGAGATTAACAGAGGAAAAAGTAAATTAATAATATTCTAAGCATTACTCATTAATGTAACATCAGGCAGAGAAAATGGACATACCCTTAAAACATGGCTGATCTTGAATGAAAGAAACTTATCTTTCAGTTGCTTTGCCTCCTTATATAACTCAGACATGGCCTCGTGTTTAACTTTCCATAGGCCCTGAATCTGTTCAAGGCAATGCTCTCTATAAGAATATTGGCAATTTTTGTCATAATCAAAATATATGGAAGTAATAACTGCAGTCTAAATCAAGGTAATTGGTCCAGACATAATCACAAAACACCTTTTCAGTTTGTCCTTTGATTATGGGCACAGATAGAACCCAAAAAACTTCCTTTGTACCATTAAATGTTGTCATGAAAAGGGAAGGGGGAATTGGCAGATTAAATATCCCTCCACGTGATATGTCTTCTCAACGAAAACTCTTTCCAAAATAGATCAATTTGGCCCTGGATACTGTGTTTATTCAAATTTCAAAGCATGGCTCCAAGTAGACAACAACAAACCAAGTCATAGTGTGAAAAAGTTATTAATCACTTATAAGGCCAGAGAGGAGGTGGAGAGGCAAACCTGCAAACAAACAAGCTTTGAGTCACCTCGAACTTGAATGCTTGTATAACCCTTTTTAAGAGCATATTTCATCCCTAAAATCATAGCACGATACTCTGCTACATTATTGGTTGCTATACCCAATCCTTCACGCAATTTACAAATCTGTCCAGACAGCATGTTACAAAGATAGAGACAGCTGCTAAATGAAAGTTACAATTTCCTAATGATAAAATGCATACCAAATGTCCATCAATAGTTCGCAAAACAGCTGCTGCACCAGCCTGTCCGGGATTTCCTTTTGATGCTCCATCAAACTCAAGAATGCAAGACTTCTGCGGGCATAATTACCCAGATCACTATTTATTAAGCTTATCCTTTAACCTTGTAATTCAATGGAGAGATATTCATGTGTATACTAAAAGTTAATCTGCCAGGAAGACACTTTCAAAGAAAGCCCCCCAGTGATTGGAACTAGGTTCAACTGTTGAAAAGAAAGAAAATATAAAAAGAGCTATGCCAGACTATTTGCCACCTTTGGCTGTATCTGCTTCATGCGCTAACCTACAAGGACTTTATATTTACACGAAAAAAAAAAAAGACAGTGATAGAAGTAAAAATGCATGGAGAAGAGCAGATGTAGCAAAAGATGGGATCAAATGACTTCCTTAAATGCATCCATCAGGTATTTAACATCAAACTCACTTACCTGATTAGAGGATGCTGCTTGAACCTCCACATGATGATCTAACTTAGCATGCTTTCTCAATGGATCAGCCGTAGACATTAAATCAAGTGCATCCTGCAAAAGAATATGAAGACACACATAAGAAAATACAGCCAACTGTATTTTCTATTCATATCTGAAAGCTCAACAGGAATCTGTGCCCCCCTATGATTGCTTACAGGAAAAAAAAAGTAACAAACTTGATTCCAAGTGCTTGATTCCCTTTGTTAACTTCTTACCATCATAAGTATTGCTACTTAAATAAAAAGTAGAGACATGGAGACTGAGAAACTATTTTTAATGCACAGTTGAAACGTGTTCTTAGCACAGCAGTTGGACTTGGTGATGCAAAAAATTCAAAAAAATAAGATCAGGTCCTCTCAGCTATTCTTCTGATTTCAGAAAGCTGTTGGAGCTTAAAAAATGTAGAAATGCAAATGCCAACCTACCCCAGTCTCCAATTCAAACATATCAGCCAACCTCTTTTTGGAGGTATCCTTAGAAGATGAATCACCCTTGCAAAAAGCTGGGTCCTAGAAAAAAAGAGAGAACAAAATTAACTTTCCAAATATTAAGTTTGTTCTTCTCCAGTGTTAGAAAGATACTGGTATGTAAATTTCTTTAAAGTTAAGTAGATGCAGTATTCTATGTAGATAAATGGGTAAATGTAATCCATTTATTGACATTAAAATTAATGACTCATTAATGAATGTTAAAGCCATTCATATTCGGAAGGGGAAGCTTGATAATCAAAATTGTCCAAGGTGCTTCTCATTTTTATATTACTACAGCCTTCAAATTCAAATCTAGTGACTCATATAAGAAAAAAATCTTTGAAATAAAGTATGCATGTGAAAGTCACTAAGAGAAAGAATACAAATAGACTGGCGTCCAATATAGAATGTAAAAGGATGAAATTTTGAGTCCCAAAAAGACATAAATGCATGGGTGTAGACATAGAGAGAGTGAGAGAGAAAGATCCACATCTCTTGCCTTACTTGAATAGGGCAAGGCATAAGCATGCCAAAAAGATCCTTTTTCAAGTCTGCAGCTTTAATTGTATAGAGAGCGTTCTTTAACCCAAATGAGTTGAGATATTCCTCTGTGTCCTTAGGCAAAGAGTAGCCTTTGTAAACACTGACAGGAGGATCACATACCTAAAAGGAAATGAACAATATGAAGTAGGGATCTAAGTGTTGCATTAGCATATAGTAAACTATTGGGAAAAGAAGAATTACTGAGGATCCAACTTGGGCTTGACAATCAGCAAAACTCTTGTAAACACCAACAACATCCCCCTTCCGAACAACAAAGAACGTGTCCTCCTTTTCCATTACTGGTTCAGGCTTCAACTTTCTAGAACGAGTAGCCTTTCCCTTACTACTCCGAGACGAGTAACACTGAACACGAAATCTTGCCAACAAAAACTCCAAATCAGTAGCCCTAATACCCGTGTTCTCAAAATTTCTTTTCCATGATGGAGCACAGAACTGACTCAAAGTATTTCTTCCAATGAAATGACTAGTTCTTCCAAATATAACTGCACCAAATGAACAAACCTGCGACAAACAATTCATCACAGAGTATATTTCCCCAGATTGTCTATATTTCTAGAGGAAAAATACTCCATCAAAGAACTATCCTCAAAAAATTTTCACAATAAAGTAAGGAACTTCATTCATCATTTATCTCTAATTTCTTGGCAATAGGCACTACATTAATCCAAAATCATTAGCAACAAAAGAGTACCACAAATTTTCGTAAGGCCATCAGAATTAAAAAAGGGAACTCGAAATTTCACAGTGATGGGTTCAGATGAGATTGAAATTGAACGATTTAAGATTTCTCTTATTCTCCATTCATTCATCAGAAACCAGACAATTCTGAGGCAAATATATATATTTCCAGAAACCCTAATCGGAAATTATTGAAAATCAGCGTTAAAGGAAATGCAGAAAGAGCAACATCCATATCGTACCAGATAATCGCCGGCGGACGAGGACGTCAGACGGAGGAAGCTTTCTGCTTGTTGCTGTTGCTGCTCCTCAACGGTTTGAACCAGATAGATATGGGTCTGGGTTTAAGGTGGGTTTTGGGGTTTTGGACTGTACGGGTTAAAGAACTTCGATTAGGTTCGAGTGTTGGAGTCCGGCCTAAATCTGGCCCAAATATGTGAGTCCAGTTTGTTTGTTTATTTTTATTTTTTTTAATATAATTAATTTTAGTCTTTCTAATGCTAAATGTTCTATATTGATGTGTTTCCAAAAAAAAAGGGAACTTTCGTAATGATTTAATAAATTTTTAAATTTTCTTCAAAGTTTCAATTATTTATGTGAGGTTGAGTCCAACTTTTTTTTGTATTGAAAAAGAATTAGAAAGCCTATTTCGAAGAACTTCATGAGGACCATTTTTATTTCATATATGATCAGTTTACAAGTTAAATTCAACATATTTGCATCATGGTAGTATCAAATAATCTGCCCCACTTGGCGAATTAGGACTTCTCTTTTCAACTTGAAGCGGTTTTTCCTCCATATTTGGAGAACACACCTGTTAAGACAGCCTTCTCCTTGATCTTTAACCTGCACAAAGTGTGAAATTTAAACCCCGTGAAGGAAAATGAAAATCCTGCAACAAATGGAATGCAGATTGGAGCAAAATACCTCTTTGCAGATCCTGGAATGTCTAGCTTTGGAACTTTTTGCTGTTTTCCTTTGGTGGGTAGCTTTTTCTTAGTAGTTTTGGGTTTCCTTTGCTGATTTGAGGAACTTGATTCCAATGTTGGGTCTGTGTGACTAGTTGGCATTGTTGCACTGACCATTTCCAGGTTGTGTCTGATAGCTTCTATTTCCACCTTGTCACTCGCATCCCTAATTTCCATGTTATATTCTTCAATATCTTTCATTTCCACCTTGTCACTTTCCTCCCTAATTTCGACATCACCTTCATCATCTAGATCTTCAGATTCACCAAATGCAGCTTCCAGTGAGAAACCTGAGGAAAAGTTACCACCATCAGAATCAGCATCCAACCCCTCTTCTGATGCAGCAACTGCAGGTTCAGTTGTAATGCAGGCATTATCTGGTGATCGTTCATTACCAAGGTTGGGACAAAGTGCATTCATCATCTCACATCTTATTTGCTTATTTCGTCTACCAAATGCTAAATTATATCCACAGAATCTCTGCACAAACCTGCCACAAAAGAGGAAAACAATTAAGGTTGAATAATCCCAGCACAATATTTAATTCTCTGTAAACAAGCACAGAGCAGCTTCTTCAGGCCAGTTAGACTGAGATCCTAGGGCAAGATAAAACTCAAAACCAATGACAACTAACATTTAAACAGAATCACCATGTGTTGTTTTTTTTTTCGGGCCCGTCAGCATGCATTGTTTCTTTAATGGTTTTGTTGCATGACTTTCATGAAATGTCCAAAACATATTCATTAATGCAAAGAACTAGGCACCATTGCTTTATAGATGGCTCTTTCAAAAGAGCTTCAATTAACCAAGAATACATGCATACATTTTGTGAGATTAGTTTTACTTAATGAATTTATCTTTATTCTAAAAGTTGTGTTTGCTCTATTAAAATGAAGAAAGAAACAAGAGACTAAAATATTTGTCCCTAACTTGTTCAAAGTCATAAGAAAGAACCACAAGCAAGTTAGTAATCATTTATGATACCTAATTGCATCATCCTCAGACTTGAAATCAACAAAAGCAAAGCCCTTGCAGATTGGGTCCTTTGTCTTCTTGTTTCCAGAAACAGCTGGAGATATATCAATTATGCCAGGAACTCCTTCAAAGGCAGCTTGAAGATCTCGGTGAATGTTCTTTTTTTTAGGAAGGTTGACAAGATGGACACGGATTCTGCTTGTAATGACTTCAGGTGCTGAAAAGTGCCATCATAGAACCATAAATCATACTGACTATGAGCATGAAAAAATACAGAATATATGTGAAATGTTATGTAGATTAACCTGGTTAATTCTTACATTTGTTGGAAAAAAGGGAAAAAAAAAAAAGACCTGGTTAATTCAAAAGCAGCAAAAGAGTGATCTTTGCATAAAAAAAAGTTGTTATAAAACGAGAAATACGAAGAACAAATTATACCGGGAGTGCCATTGAAAGGGATTTCATTTCTCTTTCGATGTCCTTTTCTTTGGCCAGTTGTTTCTACCCATGTATGTGGCATCTACTTGCAAGATATTCTCATAAGCATTTCAAACAACCCATCATAAGATTAATCATATATACATGGTTTTGCAGGCAATGACTTTATTGTGACAGATGCTGCTCAATATGAGAAACCACTACATGGGACTGGCTGCCACATGGATGAATGCAACAACGGTTATGTCAAGCCATACGGATCCAGTGCTTATGAATTCAGTTTCTTCTTCCAAAAGCTGATGACACCTGTGTCTGCCGCTACCCTTGCTGATTACTTTTAAATGACAGTTTATCTTGCCATGAACCTTTGGGTTAACTAAGAATAAATTAACTATATCCCGACAATTTGTTTCCTCATACTTCCATTACATTTCTAGAGCGAAGCTTCACGTTATAATGTTTAATACTTTAACTTGACGCTTAATCTACAATTAACATAAGGGTGTACGATCATGGCTAAATCATGAATGCCTCCCTTAGATATTGCACCGAAAGAATTTCAATTGAATTAATGCTCGGTCTTATAATGTACATACCGTAGCTAAATGGTGATGTTTTTTCTTCATAAAAAACCCATAGACATATATATACCAACGCAGAGAACAAAAACAATCTTCTACCATCAAACCTTACATAAGAAGAACATACAGCAAAAAGCGAAAAACAAAGTGACCAACCTTTTTTCTTTTGATGATCTTTCTTCGAATCAGGTTTGATAGGATTGTTCTTGAGCTTATTGATATTAGCAATCTGCGCCTCCCTACTCTGCCGCATTTCATCGAGCAGCTTGTCTTCTATAGAAGTATCATACACTTTCCCTTCACCGAACCCACGAGGCTTCTTCTCAAGCCACTTCTTTAACTTCCCAAGTGGCAAAAACATCCCTTCGTCATCACCATCACCGTCACCGTCATCATCCTCGACCCCAAGAAATTCATCATCAAAATCAGAATACTCGTCAGCAGCATCCTCAGAACTGTCCATTTCAACAACCGCAGTGCCACCTTTTCTTCCATTCTTAATAGCGAAAACCCGCAGTTTATCATCTCCATTTCCGAAAACAGAACCAGAAGCTAAATGTGTTCCTTGTAATTGCGCAGAAGAACAGAGTAAAGGTATGCTTTTGAAACAGAAAGCCAAGAATGGAGAAGGAGGAGAGTGGGTTTTTAGAGGAAGAAGGGGAGACAAGTTACTGTTTCTGCTTCTGTGCAAGAAAGCGGGGTGGCGAAAGGTTGAATTGCAAAGCGACAATGCCGTCGGAGAGAGTTCCACCGCCGGCACCATTTCTCCAACACTGAATTCGGTTCCTTCTTCGATAAAGTCTGCGGATAATATTTTAGATTTTTTTCATCCCAACCAAACACCCCTGCAGGTCTCCTGTTCGAAACCTGGCGACGCCATTATTAAATAAATTTTTTCTGTTCCTTTCTGGGCTTCGTTAATTTGGGCCTTTTTTAAACTCAATTCGGAGGTCTAACAGTCTGGTCCGAAGAAATGCAAAACTATAGGAGCAGTGCCGGCCCGCCTGCCTGCAGGATAATATAAATTAAAAATATTATATTTATAATTTCATATTATATTCTAAATCTATAATATAATATATTATTACATAATTATTTTTATTTATTAATTTATTTATAATATTATAATATATTTTATTTAATATTATATAAAATTAAAGTTTATAATTATAATTTTAAATAATATTATAATCATAAAAAGGTAACATGATTAATCATAATTCTGAAAAATATTAGAATTTTAATTTATATTTAAAAATTAAAATTTAATT